CTGGATTTTACTATATATCAATACTGGTTGTGTGTTTTAGTGACTGTTACATGACTATGTCCTATCTTCCAAACTAGATGATAAGCTCCTTGACAACGGGAAGTGAGTTTCACATCTGTCTATCTTACACAACAGAAGACTGGCCAATAAATGTTTGTCGAAGAAGATATCAGGCTGTCCTATCAGGATTCCATTGTCATGACATGTTCCATGTCCGTATCTATTTTGGCCTCATAAAAATTTGTCATGACTGTCCTAGACCATATAACAAAGTACTGAGAGAGTTCAGAGGACAGAGGTGTGACATCAACTCTTGGATATTCTCCCAGTGAGTCCTTTCCTATGAACTCCTATGCACTCTGGTCGAGGCAAGTCATGGGCATGTTCAAAAGCCCGCATTAAGTTTCTCTGCCATTTTTTAGGTTTATGAAATAGCAGTAAGTCACTTAAGAAGCCCAGTTGTCCAAGTATAGGACTCTGAAAGCCAACTGGTTATCTCTCTGGCTCCCCCAACTGATGATCTAGGGTACATAAGACAGGTAAGTATGGGAACAAGACCCCAAAAGAAGATGGGGAGGCAGAAAAAGAAAGAAGCAGCAGCCCAAAGCAGACTGGCCCCGCTTTTTGCCTACAAGTTCTGCTTCTGACCTCTTTCCCACCCAACAAGGAGTTTAGGAGTTCCAGGTATGATGGTGATCTGGTGTGGAGGGAGCTACAGTTGGTCCTGGTCTAGAAAGGGTCTGGAGGCCTATATAGGAGAAGGAGAAGCAGCAGAGCTTTCTGGAGACCCTGGGGTCTGGCAGACTCCATGGAAAAGGAGAGGATAAGAATAGCAGTGGTTCTGGAGGCTCTGCATTCCTGACAGCGTCATCCAGCTCCTCCTCCTTCCCCCTCTCCTCCCCTCCCCCCAACCCTATAACACAGCTTACCGAAGCCAGGGTTCAGCCAGGGACAAGAGTGGGCTAGGTCTCCTCACTCTCTCATCAAGCACTGACCAATAGGGAGCCTGGTCATATTGTGACACCCTCCCCCTATTCCTACTCCCTCCCCTCAAAAGGGACTTAGATAGCAATGGAGGTTAGAAAGTTTTCTATACCTATGACCCATCTCAGTCAATTTATCAGTAAACTGAAGGTATAAGAGCTCAGTACATAAAGTTCCTTGGGGGTCCTCCCCACACCTTGGGGGACTGCCTTCCTAGCCTCAGTGCTCATGGGTTAACTCACCATAACATCCCGCCCTGAGGAGGTGGAAGGGTTGGAGCCCTTGCCCTTTTCCCACAGGCTATAGCGGCCAGTTGGTTGGTAGGTGGGGCTGAGGGCCTCCAGGGCTCTTGGGGCTGGCCCCTGGCTGGCACCGCCCTTGCGCCCATAGTTCTCCAAGTAGTCCGACAGGTACTCTGATCGACTGGCCGCCTGGTATAGCCCCTGTAGGGCACACAACTCCTTTCGGGTCCGGGCAAGCATTGGGCTCCGCCCTGGCCCAGGATCCATTCTATAGCTGTCTGTGGTCCGAAGGCCAGAGAAATCTCGGGCCAGGTCTGAGTGACTGTTAGACTTCTTCTGGGTCAGGGGCATTACCTGGTCCCGGGAATTTACAGGCAGGTAGTTGAGAGAGTTACTGGGCATTCCATAAGGCAAGTTGCTGCCTCCATTGAGTCCGCTCCCAGAAGGCCGCTCACTGATCCTACTTTGGCTCTCTCCTCTTTTGCCACCTCCGACCTCAGACCTCAGCATGGGACGGCCTCGGTCATAGTCCAGGATGGAGGCAGGGCCATACATACGGGGACGGGTGTTGAGAAATCCAGAGGGATGTGCTGGCTTGAAGCTGAGTTTCTCCTTTTCCAAGAAGGATGCAGCCAAGTTGGCTCCATAGGAGGAAGGGGTGTAGGTCCCATAGCTGGACTTTGCATAAGGGGTATCTGTGTAGCGCTTCAGGGTGGAGGAGAGCTGGGACATCCTTCAGGGCGAAGCTCAGTGGGGGCTAGGAGCGGCATGGGCTGTAAAACAAGGAAAGCAGCTGTCAAAGACCACCCTCCAGGACTAGCTCCTCCACCATTCCCATTCATCCCCTTGATTTACCCATCCTCAGTTGGGCCTCTGTCTGGGCTCTCAACTGTGACCAAACCATAGATCACCTCCCAGATTTTTACACTGAGACATTAATGCAGGGAAACACACACAAAGGTATAAATACAGCTATACAATGTAGACACATGACTTGACTCTAAAGTAATGAGATTGGCCAAGTGATCACGGGCAAGTCACTCGAATCTTTCTGAGCCTCCTTCTTCTCAAGATTAGACATAATGATCTCTAAGGCCCATTCCAGCTCTGACAGTCTCAGAGTGACTGATTTATTACTTATAGAGGCCACACAAAACCAATCTCTTCATTTTACAGTTGTATACACACACACAACACACAGCCAAACAAGCATGCAGGTATACCCTACTCAGCCCCCAGTCTCCTCCATGCCACACATGATGTCCTATTCCCATTAGATTAGACAGTCCCATTCCCTTAGATAAGCCTTCTGGAGTAGTTTATGGAGTTGAAGGAGTTGGTGAAGCTCTCCTCACTTCAAACTGAGGACTCCAAGAAACAAGACTCATGAGACAGCAGACACATTGGGTGTTATGCCTTCGAGGGGAGAAACATCCTTCTGGTGCAAGCTGTGGGCCCAGCACTGTCATGACAAGTGAGCTTAACTATCTTAGAATCATAGAATGTTATAGGTAGAGAAAAATCTTAGCTGTCCAACTGCTTTATTTTAGAGATAGAGAAATTGAGGCTCAGGGAGGTAGTCACAAAGCTCATTGGTGGCAAGGCCAGGAACTAGAATCCAGGTTTCCTGACTTGGACGCTTATTGCCTGTGTGACCCTGGGCAAGTCACTTGGCCTCCCTGGTCCTCATCGTCCTCATTTGTAAAAATGACAGGATTGGTCTAGATGGCACCTAAGGCTCTTTCCAGCTCCAGATTTACTGAGTTCTAGGTCTAATGTTCTACCAGTCTTCGCACCGCTCTGCCCAGGGTTCAGACAATACCTGTTTATAGCCCAGCCTAACTTCTAGGACTCCTCTTCCCTAGTACTCAAGCTGACCCTAATACAGCATTCTACAGCAGACAGCTGGAAGGGAGGGTCCCAGTAAACACCTCTAGAAACTTCAGAGGAATCCCACAAATTCTCCAGGATCTATGGAAGTTCTTGGCTTATGCAAAGGGGGCCTCTAGAGGCAAAAATCCAGTACTGCAGCCAACACTGCCCTCTCCCATTGGACTCCACAGTGTTTGGTCTGGAGTGGATCTTCTTATAGACCGTAGGATTACAGAGTCAGAATTGGACAGAGATTTAGAAACCAGCCAGTCCAAACCCGCCCCCCCCATCGCCCCCATGCATTTTACAAATGATGAAAGTGAAACCCAAAGAGAGAAGAGACTTGCTGGGATCCGGAACCATGTTCTCTGAACCCAAATTGTGTTCCTTCTAGTCCAACTCCCACAAATCATATAGATGAGGCCAAAAAGGGTAAAGGCCTGCCTGGGGTCATACATCAGGGTATAACGGTACAGCTTGCTTCCTCCCAACTCTAATTGACTCCCAGGTTCTTGTGACTAACACAGAAGGGGAATGGAATTATGCAAAATATTAGATATTAGAGAGTATTTAATGCATATCCCTCATTTTACAGGTGAGGAAAAGGAGACCCAGAGGGGTGATATAATTTGCCCAAGGCCACACAACTCAATAAGCATTTATTAAAAACACAACTGGGGAGCAGCTAGGTGGCCCAGTGGATAGAGGCCTTTGGAATCAGGAGGACCTGAGTTCAAATCTGGTCTTAGACCAGACATTTGACACTTACTAGCTGTGTGACCTTGGGCAAGTCACTTAACCCCAATTGTCTCACACTGCTCCCCCCCGCAAAAAAACCCCAAACAAACAAACAAAAAACCAAAACCTACAACTGGGTAGGAGCCGGGGGGCGGGGGGGGGGGCCCCAGAACCCAGGTCTTCTGACTCCTCCCTCAGGTCGTTTCTGGTACTGCACAGTGTTCCCCTCCTCCCCCTGCCCATAGTGCTTGAAGGCTTCCTATTTTACCTGTACTGAGAACATCCAGGCTATCTCGCTATAGGACAACTCTTTCTTGCCAAGGGAACTAGAGAGGGAAAGTGCTGATGGAACAGGAGATCAAAGGAACTGGGTGTGTTAATGGGTGCTCACATCCCCCTTTTCCTTGAAGGTTATCTGGGGGTTCTTATGGGGAATAGTCAGGAACATTCAGGATTCTGGGTTTCTTTCTTCTAGCTATATCAATCCTCTTCTATTTCCCCTCCTCTAGTAATGATAAATCGTCTGCCCACTCCTCTCTCCAGAGCCATCCTAATTCTGCTTTTCCTGTTAGCTTGTCCAATGGGTTCCCAGTCCTGCCTCCTGATGAGATCAACAGGGGATTGGGATAGTGGTGGTGAAAGGCACTGGCAAGATATAGTAGGCATTGATTCTGTCTAGCCTCCCCCACCTCCCCTCCCCTGGGCATTCGGAGGGCCCAGAGCCCAGCCCACTTTGGAGTTAGTGCCAAGCCTCAAATACTTCAGGCTTGGCTGAGTTCTCTAGGAAACCAGATTTGAGGTAGGGGGTATATATTCTGTCAACAGCTGCAAAAGAAATCTAGACCGGGGCTGAAAGAGATAGTCCCCCCTGCCCACCTAGCTGATACCCACAAGGCACTTGGATCCCATGATGGTGTCCCAAGGCTATTAGCAGGGAGTCTCATCCATGCCAGATGCTGAGTTTTCTCTCATCAGCCCTTTAATTCATTATATACAAATTCTCCTATCCTAAGCCCTTAGGCCAGGGCTAAGCCTTGTACCTCCACCAACCCTAAGCAGTGCCGTTCTAACTTGTGTGATCAAAGGTAGTTGAGGAAGGGTTAGAGGAGAAACTAGAAACTTTTCTCCCCTTTTTCAGTCCCTAGGGGAGAAAAGGCAGATAGAAGGGGTTAAAGGAGAGAGATGGTGGGGGAAGGGGGAAGTTGGTTCAGTCCTGCTCTATTTCACTGTTAGAGAACTCCATCAATAATTCAATGTCAGAGAAACTCCAGGCATCAGGAGCCCAGCTCCCTCAAACTAGGCAGCCATTCAGACATGGCAACATCCCGCCCTTCTTCAGGCGATGATCTCATGGCTCCTCCCCGGTAGCCTCATCATCACCACTGCCACCTCCACCGCCACATTAGAATTCTGCAGGCCACTGTCACAAAGCTTTGGTATCTGATGACCTGTCTTATGACACTGGACTCTTGGGAGGCCATAGAGCAAGGGTTAGAACCTGCAGCCTCAAAGCCATATGTGGCCCCCTAGGTCCTCAAGTGTGGCCCTTTGACTGAATCCTAACTTCACAGAACAAATTCTGTAAAACTTGGGGGACTTATTCAAAAGGCCTTACCCAAGGACCTAGAGGGCCACATATAGACATGTGGCCTTGAGGCTAAAGGTTTCCCACCCCTGTCATATAGGATGCTTCTGAGACAGTTTGGGAGCAATGGGATATAGCTGGGTTAGACTGGGGCTGCTAAAGCAGCCCTCCCCTCCAACTCTGGAACTCCCCAAAGTAAAAACATCCCCTTTCCTTAGTGCAAGGGTTCCTAACCTGGGGTTCACAGACCCTAGATTTCAGAAGCTCCATGAACTTGGATGGGAAAAAAATAACAAAACCCCAAACATCTTTGTTGCATTGTAACTGGTTTCCTTAGCAATCCTACGTAATTTATTTGATCCACTTAAAAATATAGTTCTGAGAAGAGCTCCATAGGCTTCACCAGACTGACTACCAAAGGGGTCTGTGGCACAAACAAGGAGAAAGGAAATCCCAGCAGGCTTATACATTCTCATTCTCACACTAACTTAATCAGCTGGACAGGGGCAGTCCCAAAACAAAGCAGTAAACTGACTGTCCTTCAAGTAATTCTGGGCAGCTGATGGAGTAAGCTAAACATCCCCCTACTGCACAAACATACACGTTCCTTCTTGGAAACCTGACGGCATCATGTCTTGGGTGGCACAGGTTTGGGTTGAGGCCCCAGGCCACTCTCCAGCCCCAGCCTACCTAATTCTGGTGGTGAGCTGAAGACTAATTTGTGTTGGCCCTCTTGGGCATTACCTGGCTCAAGGGTATCCCTGGAGGCTGGCACAGTGTGGCAGGAAGGGGGCTTGGTTCCAGCCTTCTCATATAGGGCAGAGGTGCTCACATGGCTGTGAGTCTCCTCGTTGCCACAGGAACCACCCGTACTGAATGGCCCTTTCATGGGGCAGTAAGAAAAGATCCTATTGGCTGGGATCCCTCTCACCCCCAGTAT